GATAGCCATCCGTTTACTCTGAGCCAAGCTGCACTAAAAGCCTCCAATACAGGAACACAATGTTGCCAGCCAATCAAGACAAAAAAAGCCACAAAACAGAAGATATTAGAAACACCAATCAAGCAGAACACAGCAAATTCCAAGACCAATAAACACAGACCAAGACTCCCAACCAATCAGGATGAAGAAAAAACCATTCTGGCACAGCAGTAGGCTAGCACCAAATTTAAAACAGAAACGCTGTGAAAGTCTGACTCACAGACAAACACAATACAGAAGCCTGATGATGGCAGATGAAATTCTGCCGAAACATTGCTACAACTTTAAAAGCACAACTACAATGACATGGGAAAATACCTGAACAAAGCTGAATACCATACACACACACACACACACACACACACACACACACACACACATATATATACACTTAAGTTTTATATATATATGAAAGGATTAATAACAATAGAACCCTCTTAATATTATTCATTCCTTCATTTTTCTCGTATATAATCATCTAATAATCTTAAGGTAATTCCCAGTAAATTATAAATTTAAAAGCTCCCATGTCTACATTTCTAATAAAAAATACAAAGTTACATTCCCATGTGGTATCCCCTTTTTATGCTATATCTAACCCTTATCTCTAATTCTCTCAGCCTTGTCATTTCTCTTAGTTTTAGCCAGCTTTCCCCTTACTAAGTTTTCCTGGCCTTTCCTCTTTATCCCTTTTTTTTCCTCTAAGATTACTTTTATTTCCATCTGCCAGTCCCCCATCTTTCCTCCCACCCTTTTCTCTTTTTTGGAAATTTCTTCTTGTGCAGCTTCTTCTTTTGCTTACTCTTGGGAGCTTTTTCTCTTTTATTTATTATCTCTGTCATCAGTGTCTTAGTTTTAGTTCCCTTTATGTCTTTTGGCAATGTCTCTGAATCTCCATGTCCATTTTGGCTGTTTTCCTCTTCCTTTGGCTCCTCTTCTCTAAGGTGCTGTGTATTATTAAGATGTTGGTGCCACTCAAAACAATTTGAGTCATCATTCCCAAGTCAGGTCATCTTCCTAGATGCCTGCCAACAGGCACTTACTAACTGCATGAATGAGGATAAATTGAAATGGAGTTTAAGCAAAATGATAGGTGTGTGCTTCATGAATGCCCTTGAATCCTGGTGTTTCAGTTTGAAATCCTGACCAGAGGTACTTACTGCAAGTAATAGACAGTTCCACCCATTCCTTGTAGCTTGATTTCCAAGAAGTAGTTCATCAATTGGTAGTCATCAGACTGTATTTCTATGTAATTTGCAAAGTTTGGTTAATAGAAAATATAGCAGTCAGATTGTTGGGTTGGGTGGTTTTTTTAAAAAAAATCCTTGTTAAAAAAAACTGCTTGTCAAATTTAAACATTTGCTGTGGCCCCTCGTAGATTTTGTGGATAAAATATGAAATGTTGGCTATCCTTTTTAAAGAAAGAAATAGCTTAGATATGGAAAATTCTGGACCGCTAACAAAGCATAAAATCAGAAATATCAGTGAAAACGATAGAATAGACAATAAAAGATAACAGATAAATCAGGTCTGTTAGGGCAAATAACAAACCAGCCTCCATTAACATCTTGGCCCTAACCCTTGAGAGAAGCACCAGGTTTTTAAGGCCTTCTGAAAAGCCAGCGGAGTTGAGCCTATCCAAAGGCGACACATATGGAAAGGACCTGAAGCAGGCCTATCCTGCCAGATCTGATAGGATGGGCAGAAATGACTGGATAGGAAAAAAAAAAACATTCAAGGTTGATTCAGGCCTTCCATCATTCTGAGGTTAGTAAAATGAGGACCCAGATTGTTGGAGGTGACAATATGCTGACATTGTAAACTACCCAGCGAGTGCTGTAAAGCACTAAGGGTGCTATATAGGTAGTTCATGACCACAGTTGAGCCCAAAATTTCTCTTGCAAAGCGAGGCATTTTGTTAAGCGAGCTTTGCCCCATTTCATGACTTAATTGTTAAGTGAATGACTGCGGTTCTTAAGTTAGTAACATGGTGATTAAATGAATTTGCCTTCCCCATTGACTTTGCTTGTAAAAAGGCCATAAAAGGTGATTTACATGACCTCGTAACACTGCAAGCGTCATAAATATGAGTAATTTGCCACACCTCTGAATTTTGATCATGTGACTGTGGGGATGCTGCAACAGTTGTAAATGTGAAAAACGGTCATAAGTCTTTTTTTTTCACTTCCTTTGTAACTTTTGAACAGTCACTAAATCAACTGTAACTCAAGGATTACCTTTATAAGTGTTCTTGCTATTTTTCTTTGCATAATTCCTATCACTCATTAAATCCATAAGGAAATGTATGTCTGAAGCAACTTAAGAATGGGCCAAAGCAACTTAAGAATGGGCCTTCTCCAATGTCATATTGAGAAAAATGCTCCCAGTGAAATACTAGATGTCTTGAGGTGCTTTTGTGGCTCAGGGCTAATAACCCTTGATAGCATGGATCATGGAAATGAGGAATTTCCTGACAGTAAGAACTATTAAGCAATGGAACAGCTTGCTTCCCAGAAGTGTGGGTGCTCTATCACTGGAGCTTTTCAAGAAACGTTTGGACAACACTTGTTTGAGCATTCCTGCACTGAGCAGTGGCTTGGACTAGAAGATCTCCAAAGTCCCTTCCAAACCTTTGATTTTATGATTATTGCCAATATGTCGCAGTAGTTTTTAAAGGAAATCTAAGTATGAATTTACACTATGAGGTTTCTTTTTCAGAGATTCAGGATATGAAAGCTGTGTTGGTTCAGTGGGATTTGGCATAAAAATTGCCACTCTAAATAGTTCTTTATGTTGTAATTCATGAACTTGCTATTTTTTTTCAAGTAATCAAGTTCATAATCTTTTTTTTAGTTCCCACAGTCTTGGTGGGAATTGCCCTACATATAAAATTTAGCACCTGTCCAGTTAAATGTGTCATCTAAAACAAAGATGGTCTGTTCTGGAAGGGTTTTAGTAACAAATGAGGTTATTTAATGAATACTTCCATTATATAATTGCTAAGTAATGAATGATTCTGGCTATTTGAAAGAGCAATTAAGATACATGGAAAGGTGTGTAATATACATAGCAAAGCAAAATACCATGACTTTAAAACCTGATTAATCAAACTATTGGTATTAAAGTGATTAATATTAATGACATATTTATTGACCTGGTTAATGCCTGTTGTCAACTTCCTGACTGACAGTTCCAAGCAAAGCAAGCACACTTGAGACCTACCAACAACTCAATGTAAAATTTTTGAGTACATTATTTTGGCACCATTGAAGACAAAACCAGATCTACCCAATTTCCGTGCAAACCCACATAATTCACTATGTAAATTCCCCAACCCCCTATTAATGCAGGTCATATTGTCCAATTGAGTGGTATTGGATTGTTATGAGAAAATGTCTCTGTGTTTGGCTGATATCTGCAGATGTGTCCTTGAGTCTCAGGCCTCTCCTCCTCAAAGTCTGGAGTGCATACTTTCTTACCCATCCCTCCCTCCTGATTGTTGGCAAGCTGAGAAACAAAAATGGTTGCAACAGCATGAGTGCACTTTGAGCTTGAAACCTACATTAATCTGTGATTTGTTGAACAAGATAGTGTAGCATGATTAACATAGGACCCTGAGCTATGAATTGGGCAGACACGCTTTTTTTCATTTGTTTATTTCATATTTGGAGGCAGCAGTGATCCCACCAGAATAGCAAAACTGAAATTTCTGCTTGGTCTCCCTACCCTCAAGTGCTATTTATAGGATATTTTTGGATCTGAGGGAAAATAAGTGGCTTAAAAGTTTAAAGCTACAAATCTAAATATTTGGACTGCAAGGTGAATAGCCATATTTTCATTTGCTTCAGTATGCTAACTCAGCTACAGAGGACAGATTACTAACAGAATAACAAAGTTGGAAGGGGGCTTGGAGGTCTTCTAGTCCAACCCCCTGCTTAGGCAGGAAACCCTATACAACTTCAGACAAACTGTTGTCCGATCTCTTATTAAAAACTTCCAGTGTTGGAGCATTTACAAGTTCTGGAGGCAATTTATCCCACTGATTCATTGTTCTTCACTGTCAGGAAGTTTCTCCTTGGTTCTAGGATGCTTCTCTCCTTGATCAGGTTTTATCCATTGCTTCTTATCCTGCCTTCAGGCACTTTGGGGGATAGGTTGACGCACACACACACACACACACACACACGCACCCATGCTACTGAATTTATTTGCTTGATTTTTTTTCTCAGTGTAAGAGTCATTCTTTTTTTAAAAAAAAACAAGGACATGTTCTTTTTAATAAAACATTAGATCTAGTTCCCTCAAACTAGAACACATTGTCTTAGGGAAAGCATGCAGCGCGTGTTGTAAACATTTTTCCTCTTGGTTATACAGTTATGCAGACTGCTAGGAGAGCAATATATTATTTTCTAGGGCAGGGGGGAAAAGACTACTAAATCCTTTGAGTGCTTCAAAAAGAAATTAAAGCACAATCCAAAAGATATTTTTAATGAAAAAAGGTGGTCTCCTCTCCTTTCCTGATGAGACAAAAACATCCTGGGATTAAAGTAGTAGCCTTAAGGAGCTATTTTAAGAATTGTCTTCCTGTCTCCTCTTTCTTCATGGTCCCAACAGCTATCTGTTTGGGGCTACTTTCCCTAAATTTACTATCCTCCAAACGTAGGATTTTCAAGTCTCAGAATGCTGTCTCAAAAATCCTGTGAGATGAAAACTCTATATCTGGGAGATATCCAACTTGGAGAAGATGACACTTAGAGGATTTCAAAGGGGGACAGGGGAAATGCATGGAAAATAAAGTGGATTAAGAAATAATAAATAAAATAACATTATTTTGTTTGCTTGTAGTATCTGGTATTCAGGAATAAACTGCCTTTATATGCAGGTAGTTCTCAACTTACCGCCATAATTCAGAGGAGTCTTGAAATTGAGCAAACACTCTGCCAAAACCTGTTTATGAAATTATCACCTGTTGTTATATTAATAAAAACCACGTCTCTTTTTTCTTCTTTTATGCAGCTTTACCAACAAGGCCGACTATGCCAGCTGGGTAGTGAATTCTGTGAATTAGAAGTTTTCGCCAAAGTGCTTCGAGCTTTAGATAAAAGGTACATTTTACAAATGTTGCTCCCCCCGTATTATATTTCAAACAGGTTTTGCCAGTAAAAAGTTCCTCAGCACAGTTTTAATGCTGATAAGCAGTTTTTAAAGTCCCGCCTAATTTAAGTATGAATATACTAAGATGGTTCTTGATTGGGGCCATAATGAGAGAGCTGTTAAACCTTCAGGCGGGCTAGCTTGTCAATTGTAGTTACACAGTAGTTTCTTCTTGATTAAAACGGGGCTGTTACAAGTAGCACTTGACTTAACAACCATTCTTTAGCGACCATTTGAAGTTACAACGGCACTGTAAAAAGTGACTTATGACCGGTCCTCATAAGGCATAATGCATTTACAACCATTGCAGCATTTCCAGACACATCAGAATTGGGTTGCTTGGCAACCAAGGTGTATTTATGATACACACGATCACATTTGTGACTTTCCCAGCTAGCATCTGAGATGGGAGAAGCCAGATTCACGTAATAACTGCATGATTCACTTAGTAACTACAGTGTTTCACTTAACAACCATGGCAGGAAAGATCGTAAAATAGGGCACAACTCACTTACAACTCACTTCCACTTCAGCAGTGGAAATTTTGGTGATGAAAGTCAAGGGCTACCTAAATTAATGGAAACTGCTAGTTAGTTCTTCTTGGGTGTATTCCCTTAGAGTAGGAGATGAACAAACTGAACCCAAGGGTGGGGTCAAATGCATCATGAGCCTGGAGTCCCTACACCTTCAGAAGGGACCTAACTACAGCCCCTCCTCCCCTTGAAGTCCATTGGCTCTTACAGATTAACAGAGTTAGAAGGGACCTTGTAGGTCATCTAGTCCAATTCCCCACCCAAGCAGGAGACCCTACACCAGTGATGGCTAACATTTTCGGCATTGAGTGCCCAAAGCGTGTGCATGCATGTGCAACCCCCAAAATGCAATACCTGCACCCCTGCGCATATGCCCCCTGCATGTACCCCACCCTGACATGCACCCCCCCGGCGCATGTGCGGCAGAGACCCGAAGACCAGCTGGCTGGCAGGCGCAGCAGAGCTGAGCTGGGGTGACAACTTACATGCCCGCAGAGAGGGCTCTGCGTGGCACCTCTGGCACACGTGCCAAAGGTTCGCCATCATGGCCCTACACTATTTCTGACAAATGGCAGTTCAATTTCTTCTTGAAAGCCTCCAGTGATGAAGATCCCACAACCTTTGAAGGCAACTTCTGTTCCATTGGTTGATTGTTCTCACTGTCAGGAAATTTCTTCTTATTTCCAGGTTGAATCTCTCCTTGTTCAGTTTCCATCCATTATTCCTTGCCTGGTCTTCGGGTGCCTTGGAAAATAATTCGACCTCCTCTTCTCTGTGGCAGCTCCTCAAATATTGGAAGACTGCCATCATGTCTCCCCTGGTCCTTCTCTTCACTAGACTAGCCATGCCCAGTTCCTGCAACCGTTCATCGTATGCTTTAGCCTCCGATTCCCTAATCATGCTGGTTGCTCTTCTCTGCACTTTTTCTAGAGTCTCAACATCTTTTTTATACTGTGGTGACCAAAACTGGCTGCAGTATTCTAGATGTGGTCTTATTAAAACTTAATAGAGTGGTATTAGTACCTCACCTGATCTTGATCGTATCCCTCTGTTAATACAACTTTAGGATTGCATCTTATCTGGCCCCAATTTGTGTTGACCATAACCAATCAGATTCTTGTGTATATTTTGCATGGAATAAATTTGCAGTGTTTTGAACACTATCCTGACTCTGTCTTCCCCCCCGCCCCCCAAGTACTTTTGGGGAGATTTTTTTTTGTGCCTGACTCTTAGTTTTTCCTCCTCAAAATTCCAGAATACAATTACAGGAACTATTCATGCTGGGGAAGCTGCATGAATGTGCTTGCTTGTTTGCTTGTTTTGTTTGATTTCTATGCCTCTCAACTCTCCGAAGCAACTCTAGAGTGTTTCAGCAAAAAATACCGTATAAACCATGAAAAGGATAAATAGAGACCATATATTTAAAATTCTCTTAAAATTCAGTTAAGCTTCTTGGGTTAACATTTTCCACGGGGTGTGTATACCGTCTCTGGCTGTAATGCTGAGTGATGGAGTCCTTCCTGTTTAGCAGATTTGGATTGGAGTTCCAGTTTTTGTGTAAATTGCATTTGGTGTTTGTGTTTCCCCCTTTGCTGAGAACGTGGCATAAGTCTCTTCTGTAATATCAAATGCGTGGGCTGTTGGAACGGGTTGGGTGGATCTATTAAAATTTCACCTGCTGTTCTGACTTCCTCTGCAGCTGCAGAGAGGAAAAACTAACACCGGTGCGAGGAGTGGGTGGGAATCTGTTTTAAAGGGATTAAACAAATTGTTGGACTGTTCAATGCAGAGCCTTCCATGAGGCCCTACTGCTGATCTCGGTATCTGTTGACTAAATACGAAGATGCAGTGTCACCCTAAGCATGTTTTTCACGAATATGTCTCTCTTGATAATCGTCTTCCTGAATCTGCTATTTTTTAAAAGTTCCGGCTCCAAAATTTGCCAGTGGCTGGCTGTAACTGGCTAGAAATTACCTATGGCAGGCAGAGTACAGTTACACCTTGACTTATGACCGTAATGGAGCCTGCCCATTAGGGTCCTACATTGTGAAGGTTGTACAGCAGGTGACCATATGACTGGATCCAATGTTACGACCTTTTTTTGCAACAATTACAGGTAGTCCTTGGCTTGCAACAATTTGTTTAGTGACCGTTCAAAGTTACAATGGCACAGAAATATGTGACTTACGACTGTTTTTCATAATTACGACCATTGCAGCATCCCCATGATCGTGTGATCAAAACTGTAGCCTTCTAACAAGCAACGTCAATGGGGGAGCCGGATTGACTTAACAGCAGGGTTACTAATTTATCAACTGCAGTGATTCACGTAACAACTGTGGCAAGAAAGGTCATAAAATGGGGCGAAACACAATACGTGTCTCACTTAACAACATAAATTTGGGCTCAATTGTGGCCGTAAGTTGAGGACTACCTATATTAAACCCATTGCTGGCTGTGGTGCAGTTTTGCTGAAAAAGTAAATGCCCGTTTTCAGTAAAAATGTTAAATTGTGGTCACATAACTACGGATACTGCAAACAGCCATAAATACAGGGCAGTTGTTGAGCACCTGAAATTCGGTCATATGATCTCTGGGGAGGTGGCCGTCAGAACTTTGGAGCTGAGTTGTAAGTACCTTTGGGGGGAATCCATCCTAACTTTGAAAGGTCGCTTGACGACCAGTCGCAAGTCAAGGACTACCTGTATTTTTATAGACATAAAAAAGACCACAACCTTTTAGCATTGATGGAAGGCAGGAAAATGCTCTCATCTCCGCTGGTGCTTCTTTTGTCTTCTAGGCATCTCCTTCATCACTGCTTTCAGGCACTGATGGATCACGGAGTAAAAGTTGCTTCGGTCTTGGCCTATTCATTCAGCCGGAGGTGTTCCTACATCGCAGAATCAGATGCTGCCGTAAAAGAAAAAGCGATCCAGATTGGGTTCGTCTTAGGTAACTCGCTGTAGATAAAATATTAGCCACTTGGCTTAGTTTACAGGTACCTTTAAAGGAGCCATGGCGGCGCAGTGGTTGGAATGCAGTATTGCAGGATAACTCTGCCGACCGTTAGGTGTTTGATCCTGATCAGCTCTAAATTAACTCAGCCTTCCATCCTTCTGAGGTCGATAAAATGAGGACCCAGATTGCTGGAGGCAGCAATATGCTGACTCTGTTAAACACCTTAGAGAGGGCTGTAAAGCACTATGAAGTGGTATACAAGTCTTAAGCGCTATCCCTATTGCTCTTGCTTTAAGGGTTATGTGAAAATGTAGCACTTTATCTTTTTAAAAACAAATCAGCAAACTGGATATGGAGAGTTTAGTTTGTCTCATTAAGTAGGTGAATAGTTGAAGATGTTGTAGGGAGAGGACAGAAAGTTAGACAAAGGATAGACTGGTTCAAATTCCTACTCAAATGTAGACTTGCTGTGTCATACCTGATTCCACTAATCATATATCATTCAAGGAGTAACTATTTTCTATAGGAGCAAGGTTAAAAGGCTTTCGCTTTTCCCTTCTGAAACTAAAATCTACGTGGTATACAGTTAGTCCTTGACTTATGACTGCAACTGAGCCCAAATTTCTGTTGTTAAGCAAGAAAGTATTAAGTGAGTTTTTCCCCATTTTACGACATTTCTTGCCACAGTTGTTATATGAATCACAGCGGTTGTTAAGTTAGTAACACGGTCATTAAATGAATCTGGCTCCTTCATTGACTTTGCTTGTCAGAAGGTCGCAAAAGGGGATCACATGACCGCAGGACACTGCAACCGTCATAAATACAAACCAGTTGCCAAGTGTCTGAATTTTGATCACATGATCATGGTTATAAGTGTGAAACACGATCATGTGTCACTTATTTCAGTGCTGTTGTAACTTCAAATGGTCACTAGGCCAATCGTTGTAAATCAAGGACTACCTGTGTTCAAAATGATTGTTGCAGTCATTTATCCAATGTTTCCGTCTCTTTTTCACCCCTTCTGTGGCTTCAGCAATAGGGACGTACATAAGAGATGGAGGGAGGGTCTCTTTTCTTGAAACCTCTCTGTCTATTTGTCTCTGCTTCAAAAACAGGAATGGGCAGTTTAGCCTCTAGAATTGAGCATGACCAATTTGCGTGAGAGACCAACTCGAAGCTGTTGCTAAATTCCAAACAAGCCAGGGCTGTTTTGGGCTGAAACCATCTTTTTTTTCTGGGAGAATCCATGCAACACATGCGTTTTAGTGACAGGGCATTTCTCAGATCAATTTGTCCTCCTGCATTGTTAAGAAGAAAGAGAATTGTAGTCTTCACTCTGAAAAAGCATGGAGGAAAGACATGTTTAAAATGTAATAGGACACTCCCTAATTTATAGCTCATTCTTCTTAAATGTTAAATTTAAGGCCATTACATCTGTTAACACTTTAGGCCTTTCTCTCGGTCACCCATGCTGTAGTCAGCTCCCGTTTTGGATTACTGCATTATACACCACATGGGTGTATGTTGAAGACCATCTGGAAGTAGCGAACGTGCAGTTTTGGGTGCCTCACCATTTTTTGTTAGTGGGGCTTCCAACAAAGCAAAATCTACCATCATTGTTTATATATCAGTTGATGTGTTCTTTATATGTATATAAAACTTGACTGTTGAGAAATCACCCCAGTAACTGACCTCTTTTCTTAACCAGCATGCTTAAATATTAGCAGACAGCTTGAATTTCTTTAGACCTCCTGTAGTTACAGACAAGATAAAAAATGTGACCCAACACTTATCTTATTAGGATTAGAATCACAAGTGGACATCAGTGTCTTTTAAAAATAAGATCCGTTGTGTTTTGGAAATAGGCAGTGATATCTTGATCTTTCTAGGGGGGTTTCTGTCTGATGCTGGCTGGTACAGTGATGCCGAGAAGGTCTTCCTTTCCTGCCTTCAGTTATGTACCCTTCATGATGAAATGCTCCACTGGTTTCGTGCTGTCGAATGTTGTGTCAGGTAAGCACTGCTCTGTCTTGAAGGCTGAAAAAAATTCAAGCAGCAAAATGAATCTCTGCTTGTATGAAGGGATTATCCAGACGTTTCAACACATGACTGCTTTTTCTGTCCTCCCCAAACAGGAGTAACAGGATGGAGGAAGGAATTTTTTTTTAATGTAAACAGTCTCTCCTTTGTCTGACCCGTTCCGCACAAGAAGGGGTTACAAGAGAGAGTAAGCAGTTGGGAAATACACCAAGCTGCTTGTGTAATATACTGGCAGCTGATGGTGCCAGCACATTGCTTTCTATGTCTATTTCACATTGCGTGGCTACTTACTCTCTTTGTAACCCCTTCCTCTCCAATGAATGTAATTGCAAACATTAATTCACTTCTATGAAGGAATTGTCCAGATGTTAACAATATATGATTGTTTTTTCTCTCCTCTCCAAACACTGAGATGGAGGAAGAAAAAAAAGTGATTTCTCTAAACATTCTCCTGCATCTGACCCATTCCCCACACTTGCATAGCAGAGAGATTGGAGAAGAAGTGATTACAAGAGAGTAAGTAGCTGGGGAATATGTCAGAATGTCTGTGTAGTGCACTTGCAGCTGCTAGTGCCAGCACATTCCTTTCTATGTGTATTTTCCATTGTGTTTCTACTTACTCTCTTGTAATC